AGGATCCCCTCGCAGTGTGCACCCCTGGACCTCAACCGCAAGGATCCGATCGCAGTGTGCATCCCTGGACCTCAACCGCAAGGATCCGATCGCAGTGTGCACCCCTGGACCTCAACCGCAAGGATTCGCAGTGTGCACCGCTGGACCTCAACCAGATAGTTTGCCAGATAAAATGCCAGATAGAATGCCAGGTAGATTGCCAGATAGAATGCTGCAAGATTGCCAGGTAGAATGCCAGAAAATACGCCCGATAGAATGCCAGATAAAATGCAAGATAGAATGCCAGAAGATATGCCAGATAGAACCACAGATAGTATGCCAGACAAAATGCCAGATAGTATGCCAGACAGTATGTCAGATAGATTGCCAGATAGAATGGCAGATAGTATGCTTCAAACACACAACCACAAACACAACCACAAGCTCACAACCACAAACACAACCACAAACACACAAATACAAACACATAACCACAAGCACACAGCCACAAACACAACCACAAACACGCAACCACAACCACAACCACAAACACAACAACAAACACAACCACAAACATAACGACAAACACACAGCCACAAAGACACAACAGTCGACACACAACCACAGACACACAACCACAAACACTCAACCACAAACACACAACCACAACAACAAAACCACAAAGACACAACCACAAACACACAACCACAACAACACAACCACAAAGACACAACCACACACACAACCACAAACACAACCAGAAACACACAATCACAAATACACAATCACAAGCACAATCACAACCACAACCACAACACACAACCACAGACACAATCACAAACACAACCACAGCACACAACCACAAACACAACCACACACACAACCACAAACATAACAACAAACACACAACCACAAAGACACAACAATAAACACACAACCACAAACACAACCACAAACACACAACCACAAACACACAACCACAAACACAAACACAAACACACAACCACAACAACACGACCACAAAGACACAACCACAAACGTATAGCCACAAGCACAACCGCAAACACATCCACAAACACACAATCACAAACACACAGCCACAAACACACAATCACAAACACAACCACAACCACAACACAGCACACAACCACAACCGCAACACACAACCGCAGCACACAACCCGAGGACCCACAAGCAAAATCGAGAACTACAATACTCACGACCATGGCAACATGCTCCTCACTATGGCATCAAGTCAAATGATTGAAATGTCATGGTGGGGATCACTCGAAGTAAAGTAATTGAGAATGATCCGACATGATCCTACCATGGGTGCGGACAAGTCAGTAACTCCTCTTGATTTTCTCTTCGCGTTTATTTTCTTCTATCTACAGCATGACAGTGTACTTAAACAACACTGTGAGCTAAATATATTTGTGCGACAGCCCTTCTAGCAGACTTACAGTATAGATCAGTATAGTAAGTTTCAGGCAATGTCTGAAAGCACCAGTTGGACCATGTTGGACCCTCTGAGCGCGCAATCGAGGATCTGCGCCTCTAGTGATCTGCAGGGTCGCAACACGGTGGGCGATGCCTAGCGAGGTCATCAGCCCAGAGGTTCATGCTAGGCTGAGCATGGCCGAGCTGAGATCATCCACAGGGCCAACATGTTGATGTCAATTACTAGGTTACCCTGGTTTCCCTTCCTGAACATCCATGATCCACAACTTGATTGATAAACCATCAAAAACCTTCCCCGGTGGTGGGACTTGAGAAATGATTGAATTATATATGATTTTGATGCGACATGTTAATTCGCTTCGGGCATGGTGGGTATTTGATTAGTGGACACAAACGAGGGGGACTCCCAACCAATGATAGGTGGGTCATGACAGAACAAGAAATCTTCAATGGACATGCAGGATGTTCAGCCACACAACACAACCACAGGAACCCAAGTCGCGAGGGCGCCTCGTTCGCGGACTTCAGGTCCAATTTCCGCAATTCTCTCTCTGAGAGGAGCAACTTGGGATCCTCTGAGACGAAGCTGACATGAAGGGGATTTATACAAACATAAATATCCCGGCGGAATTTGCCCCACGGCTTTTGTCTTTTCAAGGGTTTCGCTGCAGCAATACCCGATTTCTGAGATAGAAGTTTGACATTTTTTAATCCTTGGTGCAACCCTTACAGCAACTTATTGTCAAACAGGTGCCCCCTCTGGTGCATTTTACATTCCGGAAATTTGAGGCGAACGCATGTCCAAATTGACACATGCAGACACATAATGACAACCGACAATTGTCATGGTTGTATTGGCGCTAAAAGTTAGTTGCACTTCTTGGCCAATGCCTTATAGCACGGCGAACCATCATGCATGTGTATGCATGTGACATCATCTTCGAAGCACATCCAAACCAATGTGCTCGTCCGGTGGACCGCTCTCGGGACTGTTTTTCCAAGGAACCCCACTGCAATCACTTTACAGTTCTGACCGTCAATGAGTGTCGTACTTGTTGTTGTTGCGAGTAGGCAAGCTTGGGGACATCGGAGAACTTCCGGCCAATATTGGTTGCAAGCGGTGTTTTCAGCGTTGCCAGAGCACGTCGAGCTTTTGAAGGTGCTTTGAGAATAGTCGGTTGAAAAAAAGCTGGCTCAAGTCCAAATGAAGTCACTCTAATCATATTATATAATATTTATTCTAGCGGATTCTTTACCGCCCAGAAAAGCATCGATACGTTTGACATGGACACTTGTTTAACACTTGTGTGGAAATTGTTTGAGTGCAACACAGATGTCGAAACAAGGTGGTGGAGGCTTCACATGGCAATATGTTGTGGAAAGCTTGGCTTCAGGAGGCTTCGCAAATACCAAGTGGCGTTGCGAAGTCTGAGCGACCAGGCTTAATGTTCAATCTTGATAAGTTACCCCTCCCAGATTAATGTCTGCTCCGTGGTTTTTACTTGTTTTAATGTTGTTTTGTTTTTAATGCTTTATGCTTAGTTTGATTTTGTGTCTGCACAGTTGGGATGTAATAATATCTGATTAACGTCTCCTGCAATAGTGTCTATGGTTTTCATTGTTAATTAAATTCTGCTTGTCTTCCTAAGTATGACAATAATGTCAATGTAATCCCCTTCAATAATATAATCCCATACAATAATGTCTATTCTCTTATTTTGCAAATTTATGTGTTTACTACCGTTTTTGATTTACTTTAGAACCCGTTTGATTTCTTTTGATTTCCTTTTGGAATCCTTTTGATCTCTAATGATTTCTCCCTTAATTAATCTTATTAACATATTGGAACAATCTATTCCATAAAGAGGGTAGCCGAGTACACTAGAAGTCTTGATTAATCTCAGCCGCTACAATGTTTTTCTGTTTGATTCATTAATGTTATATTGGTTCTTTATGTTGATCCTTTTGTTTACTTTAAAACCCTTGTGATGTCTTTTGATTTTCTTCTGGATTCCTTTTGATCTTTTACTACTTTCTATGTCCTTTTAATTCCTGTTGATTTCGTATCAATTCCTGTTCATTTCCTTTGATTTTCTCTTGATGTTATCTTTTTCTTTTTTTCGGGGTCCATCAATAGTCAGGAGTCTCATGGATTCGACTAGCGGGGAGGGAACACTGATCCAGAGTCTACATTGTATATCTAACACCAATCATTCAACCACTTAAAATTTCGCTCATTTCGGGGTGTGCCAAAGAAGGGAGACACTCCCTGGTCCAATGGGTTTTTACGGTTATCCGTCCTTTGATCAGGGGAACGTTCACCTCGTCCAAAGAAAAAACGTTGCAGACAAGCTTGCTCAAGTTTCTGACAGGAGAGACTCGGTCCAGACACCAGATTGATGCTTCCAAAATCCTGTTAAACTCCGGTGGCATCCGGTGGCTTGATTTCCATCAAAAGCCGTAGCCGTAGCCAAGCTATTGCTTCAGAAACACAAGGGTATGGACATATGATGACATTATATAGTACACAATATATTTCTGGAGTCCAAAAACACGAACCAGTTCAACCATACAAGAACAGTGATCAGTGATCGCTTGGTCTTTACTTTGCGCTAGAAGAAAAAAAAAGAGGTCCACGACGTCCACGAGAAACACTGGCTCCCACGTCCTTGAGGAGAAGCACCTGCGCCGCAAAGCTGCAAACATGATCAGGTCACGAAATGCATTGCCAGCAACACGGAAACTCATCAAACCAGAGTGCCTTGGAAGTACACACGAACTGTTCTGCAGGATGTGAACTGTTCAGACGGAATGCCCTGCTTGGAATGCCCTTCTGGACCTGACCCCATTCGCTTAGAGATCCCATTCGCGTCGCGTGGGATTCGGTGGGATCCTTTCGCGTCTGCCCCGTACCTCCTTTTGGATGCGCTGAAGGAGGCACTCGCCCGACGCAAACGAGGAAAGGGGCGTCACCACAGAGCTCTCCTGCCGAACTAGCTACAGTACACTGGTCAAATTCACTGGTCTTCTTGTTTCTAATACAAACATTGTTCCTAGTAGCAAGGCCAGGCGGCCAGGAGCCCCTAGTAACGTCCTTGCTCCCAGTAGCGATGCCAGGAGCCCCTAGTAGCGTCCTTGTTCCTGGTACAAACCGAATCTCGCCTTCTGGGAGCTTTCGTCAGATTCCGGTAGCAAAGTGGCAAAAGTTTTTTTTTCTTCGGGAGGGTTGTTCTGAGGTGATCCACTCAACAGTTTGTTTAATGTTTCTTTTTCTTCCGATGATGCCGATGTTTATATATGTCCAGCAAATGCTGAAGTTATATGAAGTTATATGTATGAATCATTCTGGTTCAGCCCCACCCTTGGGGCCCATCCCATCCAGTCCTCCTCGTTGGCGGCCGACACAAGCAGGGGGCTTGTGTCACCAGGTTGCCTGCTGCATCTATGGGCAAAGGAATCTTCTGTTCAATGCACAATGTGAATGTAATGTAAGTTCATGCTTGAAAAAGCAAATGACATGGCCAAATGGCCAACTCAAATTCCCCCAATTCAGCCCAATTCACTTGGACGGACAGCTCGGAATTAGAAGAGCTGTTGGACGACCCGCTCACCACACTCACTGCCTCTCCCCCAACGGGCCGGTCTCCCGGTCCGACAGTCCGCGGCCTCAACAAGCTCACCCGCAGTGGCTGACACCCCGTGGTCCCCGCCAGGTCGCGCCAGAGGCCCACGCTCAAATCCGTGCCCTCGGAGCGAGGAGAGGGTTGAAAAGGAGGAGGTAGTCAGTTGGACCCTGTCAATGTGGTGATGCAGGTCGTCTGACTGAAACTCGTCTACTAAACCAGTGAGCTTATCAATGAGTGTATGTGAGATTCCGAGATCCAGCGAGGTCCGTTCAAAGTGCAAAAAAGTAATATCCTCCCGATCTCCCATGAAACCCTGCTGTGCACGTCCGAAGCAACACAGGGTTTCCCCAAATCATATCAAATCCTGAAGGGAACTCATACCAAACCCCTCTGGAAATGGTGGATCTTGGGTAAAAAGCCCGACTTCCAAGAAATGACATTCCAGGATATTCAAAGCCAGCATGACCGAATTGTGGGTGTTCACTATAGCGAAAATCCATCAAACGTGTTGCAAACCGACCGACTATCTCGGGCACCCAAGCCAAACTATATCGGCCCATCAAGCTGGCAAGGCCGCAAACCAGTCGAGCCGCCGCCTCTGCAGGGTCCTCGGTTCTAGATGTTCTACCACGCGAACAGCCGCAGTTCCTGGGTATGTACGAAAGAACAGGTACAGTGTACAGTCGAATGCCTTTTGGGCCCCATGCCCCCCATCTTCAGTGCTTTGGAGGGGTGAAACATCCCTAGTGGCGTCCGAACGCTCCTAGTAGCGATGCCAGGAGCCCCTAGTAGCTTCTTGTTAGTAGTACGGCCAGGAGCCCCATGAACATCAACTCTTCAGGCTCAGGACCTTGAGGGTTCACCAACGCCAGGGCAAGACCCTCCCCTCTATTCCCCTCTCAGGCAGCAGCCTGTGGCAGCACACTGCCTGCAACAAAACGACGTGGTTTGGCTTCATGTCTGTTCCCCCGAACTAGCGGAACTATAGAGGCGGAACTCGCTTGGATTGAAATTGCAACTGCATCACTCACTGCTAGTCTTTTTGAGCCATCACTCATGCAAAAGTCTGGCAAAAGCGGCAGGCGGTTTGCAAGGTTCTCGAGGGACCATATCTGACAGGAGCAGGCCAAGCAAACGACTTCCTTTGTATGAAGTTCGGCCATGAACAACTCGAAGGTTGTCCAAGACCAGGACATCTCCTGGATCGAGTCTGATGTATTCCGTGTTTTCCTCATAGACGCGGCGGATCTCTGCTAGCTCATCATCCTGAAAGTCGCTGCCATCGCCCCAAGTGCAGTGGTAGGGGCGTTCATGGTTGGGCATCTGGTCAAAGATCTCATGGCCATCCAGCCACGAGCCATGCCGATTCAGGACTGAGTTAAAGAAAAGCTCCCCGTAGGTCGGATGCTTGTGAAAAACAGGGCACCACAAAACGTGGCGCAGCCGACGCTGATCATGCCGTTGCAAGATCGAAAAACTGGCCTTGTCATTGCCCTTTTGGAAAGCTTCATCCATAGAAGCAGTTTGGAAAGCGCCCTGCCAAGAGTTGTAGAAGTCTGGTGCCAAGTTCCGCTCAGACTCATCATGTAGATAGCGAATGTACTGAACCCCAAGCTGCCGAAACTTCTCCAGCAATGGTTCTGACAAAGAGCGGTGCACAGCCACGTTGTCTGCCAAAGTGGTCGTTCCATCCTCTTGCGCTTGTTTGACCATGGCAAAGGTAACATACTTCGGGTACTCCAAGGCATAGGCCATCTCATTATGGAACTGAACCGGCAGCTCCTTTGGAGCACCTGCAGCCGAATCCACAAAGCCAGTACCATCTATGGAGCTGCGTACAACACCCCCACGACCATTGTAACTCCCAGTGCTGTTGGGAGAAACACCCATCAATCGCAGAGCTACGATTTCCATGTCACGAACACTGGCAGCAGCACCTAAGGAGGCGACTGTATAGCCTTTCTGGGCAATCTCTTCAGTGGATCCATAGGCTCGAAAAGCCAGTCTGAAACCACGTGAAGGGAAGCTCAAACGCAAACAGCACAGCTTGTACATGGCACCCTCTTTTTTTCACTCCAGCTCCAAGTCCAGATTGAGCCAAAAGCAGTCAAAGGCATCGATTTTCAGAGAGACAACCACGAGTCTCTGATTTCACTGTTGCCAGAAACACGCTGGACTCTGGAATGGGATACAAGTGTACCTCCTCTGAAAGTAAGGCTTAGCCATGCTTAACCTGTGCAATGCAAAAACCTTTCACGGCACTTCCCAGCCACACCTGCCACAATACATCATCTGCTATCATCACCTTCATTGTCTTTGCATCTGTTTGCCCATTGTAATTCGCTTAATTAGACGCGTCTTCTGGTGGAGTCTTTATGAGTCATTCCTCGATGACCCAACCCCAACTGTGGCATCCCCAACCCTCTGGGTCCAGCCTTTGAGCCATGAAGTCACTGAGACCACGTCGGCCTCTGGACGGCCAGTTCCCACACCCTTTGAAAGTGACATCCAACCCGAAGAAATCCAGTCTCGGATCCAGTCGTGGTCATTTTCGATGAAGTGAAGACCTGTCGAAAGACCTTCCAGACCTACGAATGAATCCTTCATTTGCATGGGGCCAGTCAAAAGTGTCGAAATCTGTGTAGCCTGCGGAAGTGCCAGTCCATATTCACTTGTTCTTTCCGAATGGGTCTATTTCACTTCTACAAAAATGTCGGAACTGAGTTGCAACCCAACTGCTCTGCTGTTTATTTTGTCCGTTCGGAATTCGCATTTGCTTCACGTCTGTTTTTCAATGAACACAGACTAGATGCGCGTTTACTCTTCTTAATGTTGTTTAATCGCAGTACTTAATTAATGTCACTGCAACCTAAAATAATTACCGAAGTCCCTGATCTGCAGGTCTGCAGGGCAAGGGGTCGCTGGCGTCACCTCTCGATGTTGTTCGGCAGGTCCCAACTGATCTGTAGGCAGTTGCGCCAGAAGCGGTGGACACCCCTGGCCACAGCACATGCGATCGCGCGTTTCAATGCAAACCGTGTTTCATCGTTTTTCTGTGGGTTGTCTGGCAGTTTTCGTTTTGGCAAGTAATTAAGGTCCCCAGCAACTAAACGCGGGAGACTTTGGGAACCCTTCAAACAAATTCCCACCATTGAAAGCACGTTTCACTGTATATTATATATATATTGTATACATGGCATTAAATGTCTGGAAGACCCTGACAATGAACTCTGCTGTAGACCTGGGACTGTTCGAGGGTTTGTGTTCCTTCCTTGGCAGGAGTACAATTCAATATTAACATGATATAACATCGTATAATAATATGGCCATAGCCATCCATAGCCTATGTGACACAGAGCTGTCATAATTCTCGTTTTGTGCACAATGATCAATGTATGGGAAATCAACTCCTGGTATCACTTGCACCGTGCGATACCACGCATTTTTTTCGCCTTGTCACAAAAATGAAAGCGGCCCAACTGCGGCACGCAGTTTTGAGATCAATCGTGGGCCTGAAACCTGAGGTAGCTACGGTCAAAAAAAAGTGTTTCATCCCACTGATCTGGATCACCTGGCTGTGCATCTGGGTCCAATTCTAAACAGTCCTAGTCAGATAGTCCTTCGTGTAGTAAAATGATGTAAAATGTAATAATCACACAAACCCGTGGGAACTGTCCGTTTCGGATCAAAACGATTGAGTCACAAGAGGTAATGACGCCCCTGCTAAAAGTACAGCGTGCAGCATGATAACTTGCAAGCACCAGCTAAAGCAGAGACCCGCACATTGGATTTTGGTTGATTCTGTGCCTCTTCCACAGAGAAGGTAATCAAATCAAAGCGGGACTGCGACACTGTCTTGTTAAAGAAAAGACTCAACACTCAATCCAATCGATCCAATGATCCCGGTCTACGACGATGAACGTGAGTGTGTGCGGAGGGGGGCCGGCGTGTTCCTGAGAGGGACTCTGCTGAGCGGTGGACGATGCCGGTTTGCCGTCACATTGCCAAGAATGCACCAAAAAACAACCAATGATGTACCTTGTAAAAAAGGCTGACAAAGTAATGCATGTCGGAAACCCATGAATAGGCCTATCTCACGTCAGCAATGTACAAAAAAAAGAAGTGCTGGCTCGTCAAGCATGCCCCAAAGTCCTATCTCCTTGCTCTAAAAAGACTAAGGAAAAAGCGTATGGCTTGGGTGCCAAGTCAAAGGGGTCCCACATTGCATTTGGATTCAGATTGGTTTAAAAACAGCGTGGATCGGAGGAAGGCGGAGGGAAGAATCTGTCCACAAAGGCCTATCTCATGAGTGCGGGTTTGTGCATTGACCCTATTTCCTGCCCTACCCCCAAAATACATGTGATCTCATGTGATTGCTGTAGCGGTTGCCTTTTGCATCCTTTTGCAAGGTCCCATCTCATCTGATCTACATTTGATCACTTTTGCATCTTAAGATCCCGTCTCATGTAAGAGTACTGGACTGTTCCGGCTTCAAAAGTGACTTGAGGCGGTCCAACACAGCACTTTGGGTAGGACAAATTGATGCTGCGTTGTGTCCTCTTTCCCTCGGGCTTGCTTCCATTCAAGGCCTTCCGTGTTGCTTTGTTTCTAGGGGATGCCCAACCAATTAAGCTGTCACTATCAACTTTAATTAGTGACGTTTCCTTGGCAAAAGCCAGGGAATGAAATGCCCACAGCAGTCAGAGGTTCTGTGGCTATTGTGGCTGTGTTGGAATTTCACTCGTGGTCCGTGGTCCGATCCTCTCCCTTTTTACTCGCTCCAGAAAAACACCGTCGGACCCCAGCTGCACCCCTCTCGGTGCCCGGCTGGCACCTCCAACTTTGCAGCCCAGTGCTCGACGATGTCAGCCTTGTGGCGATGGTGAACCACCAAAGAAAGAACATCGTGTGGTGGTGGACAGCGAAGCATGAGAAACATGAGCATACTGCATACCTATGATAATTAAAGCCAAGTCTCTGATTTATATAAATCCTAATCTGCTGGCACACGTTGGTGTGCAGCACACCACAAAAGCTCTGAGTCCAGAATGAAAGTGTGTAGTTCAAAGGACGTTCAAGGGTTGCGAGACTTCATACAATTTACAGAAACTGGCCCACAAGCATAGTTACAGCTCCTGCTCCACCGTTGCTTGTGAAAATGGTCAAATCGTTTCAGAACAACATATTGCTTGTGAATCAAACATTAGCAATGCACAATCACTTCGTAACATCACAACCTGACACGGGTCGGCTGCCAGGAGCGCATCTTCAGCACGACTTAACCCTCCACCCCAAAAGGCAAACGAAAGGCAAGGCTACTCCGCTTGGGGATGCAAACGGGGCTCCGGGAGTGCTCATCAATCCAGCCTTTGTGAGTTTTCCCTAGTGTTGAGACACAAATGTCAACCTTTCGTCGCTGACTTGCTCCGGGAAGCTTCTGTGGCGGAGTGTTCAGTCCTGGCGCTTCAGTGAACTGCAGGATTGGGACCCGTAAACATTGTCAGTTTGGAGGTCGACAATGCACTGGACGGTCCGTTCCATTGGTCCATGGGTCCATGGGTCACGTGACCGTGTCACGGACATCGATCTTCGGTCCGTAGCAAGGGCAAAGTTAGGCTCGACATTGCTCAAGGTTCCAGGGCTACCAAAACTCGCTGGTAGCCGCAAGCACTGCGCAACACGTACGACGGTGACGCTTCCCTGAAAAGTTTGACGGATTTTATCAAACTGTGAAACGGTGTAATCCGTCTTGCAAGTTGGCAAGTCGACCTTCAAAAAACAAATCCGAAACCATCTTGTTTGACATTTTACAAGTAAACAAGTCGATCATACCCTCTCAGACCAGCGGAACTGCATCTCTTTTTCTCCGACGCACTAAACGCCTCTGACACTGCACTCCAGAACTTTACAGTTTACAGTAATTATGTTGCGTCGACTCAAGTGAATTCCCCCCCTTTGGGGGCGGATTTCAAAACACCACAGAGATCAAGCATGCCCAAACCGCGAGTGAACAATTGATGATGATACTAGATGCTGCTATGGTCTGATTTCCTCATAACTTAAGGAGTCAAACGTCCAAAACAATTCCTGAGGGCATATTGAAAGAACACCCGAGTTTCTCGGGGAACGCGCTGTGCGCCTGCCGCACCATGCGGCAGGCATCCAAGATTCGAATTAATGGTCCGCGTTCTGCTTCAATCCCGTTCGGTCTCAACTGAGACCGCATCGGAATGCAAACGTGACTGGAATACACAAGGCAACATTCGCACGGAACAGGCAGGGAGACATGTCTCTACCATATTGAAACTTATTCATCGTTTTCATGTAAGGTTTCGCTTTCCACAAACAGTGTGGCCACACTGTGGCGGATTTCAGGGTAATTCGGTGTAAAATGGTGCAAAGAATCTGGTTTAGACATCGTTCGCATGGTTCGATCCAATTGGCCTGTAGTTGCGGTGCTGTGCGCGTTCACCTTTCAGCAACAGACCAGTAGTTTTTAATACGCGGTCCCTCTCCCCAAAGATCTACTAACCTCAAAGACTTTAAAGCATCTGGGACCGACAAAAACTTGTCGTTACCTGAGCTGCTCGACTTTTCAGATAGCTCCTATTGCAAAATGGTGTTTAAAAAAAAGAACGAAGGGTCGTGGTTCCCAACAGGTGCCCCTCAATGGTGCCCAACAGGTGCCCTCTCTCTGACTCGCATTCGGAAACATTCCAGTTAAAAGAGGCGTGCAAACACACACCATGACTTTGAAGGGGCGTCCATTTGTGACAAGGACATCTTTTAAAATTGGCAATAGACTCATACACTGCCAAAATGTGTCTATTGTTTATAAAGGCGTGTGTACTCATATCTGAGAGGAAGCTTCAGAAGGAAACCTTCCCATTTCAGGTGTAAAGGAAATCATTTCAACAGGGCAAAATGTTTGATTGTCTTTCATAGTTCGCATCAACAAGACATCCTATCATTCTAATCTAAGATGCGGAAAACCATACAAATCCTATCATATAACTGTACTTACAGTAAATGCTTAATATGATCTGGGAACTAAATCATTACATATAACTACATATAAGTCTCAAGCTTCTTCAAAGAAGCTCCCTCCCACCCTCATGCGGGGAGCTTCCTTGAACGAAGCCTGAGCCCTTCTGCATGTAAGCCTAAGAAGCTACTGACTAGTAGCTTACATACTTAGGCCAATCACCCCACCCCTCGCCCGTGATTCGAAAGCTCAAGCCAACCAACCTTTAAAGAAATACCACATTGGCACGCTATATTCAATGAGCGAGAGCGGGGAATCAGAATACTTTGTCAAGTTAGCTCAAACCTCAACTGGTCACATGTGTGCTCCTAAGTGGCTCTCCTCTGTGTGCCCTGACTGCTCACATGGGCTCTCCTGTGTGTTTATATATTTTGTATGCTCATATCTTGCCTCATGCTTGTGCTCCCAAAGGAGCACACATGTGACCTACACGGATCTTACAATGGCCCAGCTGACTCCGTCTGACATGTTCCACTTCAGCCAATGCCTGTTTCCGTGTTCAGGCTCTGGAGCTGCCAAGCTCGGCCAAGTTGTGCCGGATGCAACTCCTAACTAACTATCTAATTCAACTAATAATGGCTCCAACACTGATTGGCATAGGAACAGTCAAGAAATCGATGTCCAAGGAACAAACAGTGATAAGACCGGTGGCTTCAACTCCTTCCTTTCACCCAATTTACCCCTATCTCTTTGAGCCATAGCAAAACATGTAGGGCATATGATGACATGCGGGGCCCGTTCACTTTGGCACAGGCCTGCAGCTTGAGGCTGGCATGCCTGCCCAGACCTCGAGGTCAAAAAAGGGTGACATCTGCTCACTCACTCTTGGCAAGAAAACGACATCATGTTCCCATTCTGTGTAGATAATTGGATCTGCGCAGAATCCCTTTGGAGCCGCACTGAGCATTTTTTGGGACACCGGGACACCCAAACAATTTGATTGGTTGGGGAACTCTTCTGGCGTTTGCCAATCCATGCTTATAAAGGCATACCTACATACACGACAAAATGGTCCAATCTCTCTTAAGGCTATCCGATATCCCTGAAAAATGCTGTGTCGACTGACCCAATGCCCTGAGAACGCACTATCCCGCTCAGGCCTCTCTTGATGGCACTGTTTCTCCTTTCAAGACCTGACTCAAGACAAGGAAAAAAGGTCTTGGCCTTCCCTACGAGCTTGCTCGTGAAGAGGCTAGCAAAGGGTTATCATGCCCCGTGCGGGTAAAGTTCACTCTTCCATGAACGCACCCTGCTTTTTATTTGTATGCTGACAAATCGTCTCCACGTTGCCTGCGTGTGTTCCATGAGCACCGCCTGCCGAAGTTACAAAGGCGCACAGCATCGGATACCGAAACGGAGGCTCTTTGTTCATACTACCCTCGCAATCGTAGTCATGCAATCTGAGCATCCAAGAGCGTTTTCATGTGTTTACTTGTTGCTTCGTGGGGGTTGATGATTGATGATATAGGACTGGGTGATCACCTTTCGACGAACAGAACAGCAAGGCAGCTTTGGGCCTCATCCTCGATCTCCGAGCCAGGCATCGCAAAAGATCCTAGGCGCGGTGATTCGTACCCAGCGCACCAAGAAAAGGATGAAAACCAAGTTGGATAGAAATATACAAGTAGGGCAGCAATACACCACTAGGACTAGATGTTTTCTTCTTGAAGGTTCCAAATTGACAACCCTTTCCCTGTAGAATCTTGCAAGACACTCAATAATTTTGTCACCTCACACAGCCGAAGTTCCTCCCTCCTCTAAAGCTGTTTAATTGTCATAACATGATGTATCTAAAGAGGGTGATAAATGACTGTCCCACACTGGCCAAGCAAAATGGACTTCTCAATTCGACCGTGGCTGATCCAATCTGATCCACATCAATGTTGTAAGACATCGGTTTGTGTCTTTATGGTTGAACTTGATATATAGTTGAAGCAATTATGGCTTTCATTTTGGTGTCCCCATTTCTAGTTCTTGGGGGAGTTGAACTCAAGAGTGCCTCTATCAACATGCTGCGTTGGGATTCGACGGAAGACGTCAAAGGTCGACCAGCATATTCTGGCCTTTAATTTATAGGCCAGTTAATAGTTAATAATAATCTATTTTGCTTTTATTTTATTGGTTCATCTGTGACCCCAAAGACCAAATAAGAAGAGGAAAATAAAAGCAAAATAGTGGCCATCAATTTATTGTATTCTTTATTTAAATTAATGGCCAATGAATGATTATTATATGGCCAGCAATCTTTTCATTTATATCTTATCTGCTGGCCAAAGTTTATATTAATATATGGCTTTTACAATAATTTCTGTTCACTCGCTTTAGCCACTTAGGCAACTACACGAAATGCATCGACAAAATGGTCCGATTCAAATGCATCATCAACAGTAGAACAGTAGAACTAGTGATTAGATGTGATTAGTATATGTGAGGTGCACTGGCTACGGCTACTGCGGTCAACAGTAGCACTCCCAAAAATCAACATAGGACTCATCACGCGCACCACGCAATAGCCGAGGTCACCGTGCCAAACTGGCAAGCGACCAACGTACTTGGAATCCATGCACACTAAGGTCAGAAGCGTTTTGCAAGCTGCGCAGGCTTCTGTACCGGAGACAATCACAACAAAGGACATGGTCAAACATCATGCCCACAAAGCATTTACTCACCTGCCTGGTCGTCCCATTTACAGATGCCGCGGTCGGGTTTGGACGAACAGCGTACGGGCCCGGCCTGGCAACAGCGCTGCACCATCTGCGATCCTGGCAACGCTTGGCGTCCCAGGCCGGACCATAAAGAGTCGATGTGATCTGCTTAAAACTGTGAGCACCAATCCCAGTGCTCATGTGTAAAAAGACAACATCCTACCAATCTCCTGAACTTTGGGCCCACCTTCGGCTGTTTTCACGGTGTTTGTTCACTTCATGGGCTCTCGCCTCGTCGGTGCAAGCTTGATGACCATGTTCTCCACGGTATGTCCAGTGGTGTCGCACCTCGGTCGACCGCTTCTCGAGAGGCCGAGGCCGCTCGTTGACGCTCAAAGCGTCGAATGATGAACATCGAATGCCTTTGCGGGCATACTGCATACATAGAGTGCAAGTGAGACGGTCAGGTGGGACTATGTGACACTTTGTGTATCATATAATATAGAAAACAAATCATAGTGGAATTATAGTGTCATAACACATTTACACAGCATGTACAAGTCCTACCCATGCGCATGTATCTGTCTGCATCAGATTATACCCTCGCACGTACCTTGTTTATCTATATTCCCAGTCACATGCACTTTCCAAGGTCAAGCCACCCACAGCCAATTGCAACATGGTCACCTGGCAGAGTGTTTGAAAAGCACATTTGGATACGGGCACTAACCAGTCACTGTTGAATTGCAACAAAAGTACACTATTCCCTCAAACTATCCAAACAGGTCCTCTATCGCTCCTACATGACACACCCAACACAGACCTTCAATGAGAATCCAATTCAAGATATGAGCGCCTATGGTCAGCAAGTCATATTCGACCATAAGGCCACTCAAATAGCACTCCTTCGGGCAGTTTGATGAACTAAGAATCGCTGGAGCCCTTTGAATCTTTCTCGGTGGCATAGGCATAGGATTGAACAAAATTGAAAATATCTCAAACACACAAAACACAAAATCTTCCCAATCACTGTGCAAGGCATAAAGTATGCATGAAGGCCAAGGGCTGTCACGCCGACGGGAGACTCCCCATCCGTCCTTGCCAACCTTAGCTCCTAGAGCACGAGCCAACAACACCTCGAATCACAGCGTCTGCAGACTGGTTGTAACGCTCCTTTCTCATTCGCAGGTGTTCAAGAAGCACAAACTGACAAAGAACGACATGTTTGAGAGTTAGCGGAATCGATATGAATCAATACTCTACACAAATCAGTAGCTTTTCAGCTGTTTCTCTCGCACGGAAACCCATCAGGAGAAAAGTTACTGCGGAATGCACCAACTTCTACTCAGGAGAATCACGTTGTGTGCCCGATACGAATTCAACTTGGCAACCTCTGTTCACAAATTCCATGGGATCAAGTGCTTTCATCGGAATATCACTGTCAATCGAGCGATTCGCCCCTCGGCAAGCCTCAAAAACACTGCCTCGAAAACTATCGTGGAGCGCACTTATGCCTGCGACAAGGAGTTCGATGCTCGTGGTGATGATCAAGGACGTTTACCTTTAACATCCTTTAACACACACCTTTTGAGGCGCATCACGGGAGAAACATGGTGACTCAGACTCTTTTGGGAGGGTAGAAAGCGGGCAACACCTAGAAGAAGTGAATAAGAGTGCTGTTGCTGGGTGGGAAAGCATGTCGAGTTTGAGTGGAATTGCCTACAGGCGCCGAGAAATCCTCAATCATGCACCTTGTGTGTCTTGTGGAACACCTGGACTGAACCATCCCAGTGAAATTCAATGAACTTATGAGGTGCTTCAGGGTGAGCTGCGATGCCTGGACACTTTTGCAGAGGGATGGCAACAAAGTGAGAAAACCCCTGCTCAACCCCTGCTTAATGCAATCACAGCTGGGCTCTCTTTCATAGATGTTCATTCCAATGGCCCATCTAGTCTTGACCAATTGATGTGCATGTTGCTTGATGCAAAAAATGGACAGCAGTTGCTGGCCTGGCTGCTCTTGTTATATACTATCTGAACTATCTGGGGATGCAACAGTTGGAGTATTCTGATGCATTCCTGTTTGAGTCTGCTCCAGATTGTTGCTGAATGGTGTGGGCTGAATGAAAGCTAAGGACAGTCGTTCGGTCCAACAAACACGCTAAATCATGCTAACAGCAGTGCTAACAGCATGATACTGCTAACTAGTTGCATAATGCTCATGAAAAGCATCCTGCACAAACTGGAGCCCTGAAACATGTTGCATAGCGGGAAGCCCTCTATCTCTCAGATGGGGCAGGAGTTTGTCCAGGCGAAGATCCCCGCTCCACCCGACCGGAAGAGCACCTCGTCCACAAATGGAGATGCACATCCAACAGGTCTCGGTGCACCGGAGAAGGGAAGGACAACAAAATGCAAGAAAGAAAGGGGTTCATTTACATCCATTGGACCATTACACCCCATCACCTACAACAATTGGACCATCTAATTGCATCCATTCTAGTCGCATCTGGACTCGTTAGTCAGTCCTCTCTCCAACTCATCTTCCCTACAAACTGTGCGTTTGCAGCATCGGGACATGGTAGGAGCCGAAGAACTTGTATTCACCCGCCTGCAGTGGCTGTCCAAGCCAAACCCGAAGCAGCATACTGCTCAGAAAACTGACAATGCGAACAGCATGCTGCTTTGCTACTTTTCAGTGTTTGAGTGTTCATTCACCTCAAACTATAGCTTGGCTTGGCACTGTAACTACGAGTAAGCTCAGCTGTGTTGCAAAACCAACTAGAGCAAATCAATCCAAATCACTAGATCACTTCCAATGCAAACTCATAACTGCAATAGCTCATAAAGGCGAGTGGGCAAATGCAATCTTGAATTAATGCGTATCTTTCTTGAAGTGTGCGCCTTATACCTGCCAATGACAATCCACTTGAGCAAAATGTTCAGTAGGAGCCTTAAGCACGAAAGCACGCTCAAATGCAGATAAACCACACTTTGTGTTGAAAAAACATACTTCCAATGGATGCCACCAAAGCCACAGAAAAAGTTCGATTGAATTGAAGACCTGACATGGCCGCATCGCCGCATAGCGCAAGAGTTTAACCCCAGGTGACATGTTCAACCGAGCCACAAAAGGAGTCACGAGCAGCCCTGTCAATATGCCTTCCTTGGCTGTCCGGTTGTCACAAAGCTCCCTCAATGACTCAAAGACAGCAGTCGGCAGTGTTGCTTTTTTTGCCTGGTCCATCCTGGTCCAGTTTCCACTAATTGTCCTCGTAAAAGGGACTAATGCAGAAGAAAACATCTTTCTGGAGTCTGAAGCCAAGGTTCGCTTTCAAAGTCCCAGAGTGTAGTTACTCCAAAGTACGTGACCACCCAAGCAGCTGTTGGCAATGGGCTGGCAAACCTGAATGAAGCCAGAACAATCAACAAACTCAGAAAAGGCTGTCGAAGGCTTCTCACCACCCCAGCCAGACTCTATTAGATAAGAGACGACCAATGGGGTCCTATGGGGTCCTCGTTTAAGGGTTCCCCAAGCCTCCTTGTAACATTTGTGATATGTACGCATCTCTTGAGACCGGAAGCAAACTGGGTTCGCTGGGTTGGACACTCACGCACAAACTGACGCTGTGCTTCTTTTCCGCCCGCCAGGCGGCAGGATGACCAGAAGGATGACCAAGTTGAACCTGTCGCATGGCCGAATGATGTGGCTTTTGGGCTCCAACAAGGCTCGAAGGACTCTTTCACTTAAAGATGCAACGTACGCCTGCGCCTCCACACACGGCACTCTTTCACCCCCCATCCCTCGTCCCTGCATCATCCACTCAACATCAACGTAGCTTCATCCGAATCGCAGCAGCACAACACAGCACGAAACGACCAGGGATATTGAGCTATTATCCACATCATCTTTCCGGCACCCTCTGGCAGTTTCCATTGCTAAAGGTAGCTCATGTAATTACAGCATTACATTCACAATGTGTATGAGAACTCGATGTGTTTGCTACACTGCCAAGATCTTTGTCTCGGTCACACCTATTTCAATCTTACGTGCTGCTGTTCTTTGAGTACAGTAGATGCCTCCACCAGGTAATTGGGCTATCCAAATCCTGCATAGTCTTGTCCTCCAGCTCCTCAAACGGCAAGGTTGTGATGACTGTGCTCCTTTGTTCCAATAATTGAAGCTTGAATCTAGTCAAAATTGCCTTCTTACCATGTCTCATGTGTAGCTTTGTTCTCAAACTGGGAGAATCCAGCATCTAAGGGTTTCACCCGCATGGATGGTGAAGCAAGGTAGTCGCGCAAATGCATCGACCGGCCTGGCTCAGGAGCTCGTGGGGTGCACAGATTTCACAGCACCTACAATATTTGATCACATCCAAGGATATATATATATAGTTATATAATGTTATATATATAATATATATATATATATATTATAGTTCACGAACAACATCCTATACGGCCTGGGAACCATGGCAAGTGCTTGTCCGTTTGTATTCATGATAGGGTATCCCGGTATCCCTTTATTCTGGACCCATAGGAACGCTGGAGCTCGCCCATTCCATATCAAAGGGCGAGCTTGAACGGCCAACTCTGTCTGACTCAGATCCGGGTCCCTCACCTCGCTGATTCCCGGAATGAATGGCCAGCGGAGGGTAGTAACCTCACAATGGACCAGGTCGTGCAATCTGCGTCATGTGGGGATGTGCTAGGTGTAGGTAGGAGCACACAGGGATTCTCGCAACTGAACCAAGCCACTCCCTGCTGTGGCCAAGGTGTAGGTTCCCAACACTGCCTGAGCTTGGTCCGGAGCAATCAAAATGACCAGGTGAACAGCTGGATAGCCTAAACGAAGCATTGAAAAATGAAAATGGACAAAGTGATGAACCCAAACATTCCCAAACAAGGCAGTGATGGATGTTTGGGTCCAGCTTGTAGGGTCTGAGCGGTAGAATCCTCCTATCACCAAAGGACACATAACGATGGATGGGTGCCGCACCGAAGTTGGCTCTTAAAGTTGACCTGGGATCGTGACTTCAACCTAATTACTCTCTATCACATCGCGTGATGTCTTGACATCTCTTGAAGAAGCGCTTGCATTATTCATTTGGTTCCGATACTTTTAGGGAAACTGAACTCCGTTGGAAGAACATCAATGAGCAACACTAGGACAGCTGGTGTGCACACAATTTGGACACCCGAAGATGTTGACCTCCCAGGGTCCCGAGTCCGAATCGAAGGGGTGCGAAAAAGCGTTTTCAATATCCATGTAGTGATGTAAAACGTGTTGATGTAATATGTTGCCGTGTTGATGTGTACTTTGAAGGCTCATCCTTTAGATCTTGGCCCCAAACTGCCTGCACTACATTGGACTACTAGGAGGTATATACTATCATATATAACATCCACGCGGAGGAACTGGAACTGGAAGCAAGCATGATATACCTCCCCGCAATACTTGACTCTCGTGTCGTCAAGATGCCCGTTCAGCGACGGTGACACCCGGCAGGAGCGTGCAATGATCCAAAACGTTGGCCCCTCGGCAGATTCGGATGTCTGCATAGCGTTGCTTTGGTCCTGACAGTAGCGGCAGTCAGGCAATAGACGGATAGCTGTGGACTCTATGATCTTGACGCATTCTCACTTCTCCCCAAGATTGCCTGAAGCTATCAACACATCCACAAACAGGCCTCGTTGCTGCTCCATTTTCCTGCTGTACTCCAGAGGCACCCAGGGTGCGTTCACATCACTGGCGAGCAAGACTTTGATGCCAAAGACCACATAATCATCCACATGTATGCAGTCGTGTTCCACCATATCCAACCTTCAGTATGCAAAATCTTGACTTCAAATGGACTCAATCAGGAGCCCACCGGACTTCTGGTGGGCAAGGGGCACTAGACCTACAGCATGCGACAGCTAAAGCTACAAGGGACTCTTTGTCTAGCTTGGGGGTTGAAGTTCATATCCTTCTGATCTGGCTGGTGGCGTCAACCGACCTGCTCACCTGCTCCCAAGCAAAAGGTTCGCAGGTTCTCTATTTCAACCTTTTCCATCTTCTTCCAAAACTGCGTCCAGGGAGCTGATCGATCTGCACCCGGTGGCCGATCTTGGTACCCAAGGCTCGGTAGAGCCACGAGAGGAACTCGGTATTGGTAAAGAATTGGCAAAGCTCCTGAAATGGCCGTTGGGCTCTGGGCCATGGGGGGGCCGGTTGGCATCACTCAAAATCACAGGAGAAACATGGTTGCAAGCACCAAAGTTCAAGGCATAGTCACCGAAGTTCAGTTAGTTCCACCTAGTTCCACCTAGTTACGGGATGCATCAGAGTTCGGCTATCGCCCGTCCTCGAAATCATGATTTTCCGATGCACGGCCGTGGACCCAAGTCTTCCACTCATTCCAATGACTGATTTGATCCTTCTTCTGCTTTCGGAAATCGCCTGGCATGCCACGCGAGAAATTGGATTTGGGTCCGACTGGTCCCCCGATTTCATCGAGGCTCTTCGTTGAAACACGTGGCGTCGTTCTTACTGGTTCCGTGTTTCGCGAAGTTTTGGGCATCGCGGTCGCAGATCCCACGGTCGCTGAGAGGTCCCGCCTATCAGAATCCACTTTTGCAGAACAATGACGACCGCCCGAAAGAAGTTGATCGGATGCATAAATATCCATGCCAAACAAACACACCAAAGGTAGTAGCCGTACTCGGGAGAATACTCCTCAAAGCGGTAGTAGGTCCAGGCCAGGATGAAATAGGTTGGATAGAGCCTCTCGAGTCGGCTGGAAATCAAGGTCCCCAGCGAGATCTCGTTTAAAAATCAACTGGAACCCACGACCTCGAATGCACTCATGCAATCGAAAAAACACGGCCAAACATTGTTTGACACTCTTGTAACACACTCTTGTAGGGCAGTCTTGTAGCACTCTCTTGTGACACTCTTGGACGCTCTTGTGGGACACACTTATGTAGGACCCTCTTGCAGGACACTCTTGTGGGACACTCTTGTCGGCTAGGACTCTTGTGGGACGCTCTTGTGAGACACCCTGGTCTCTTGTGGGAAACTCTTGTGGGACAGGCTTGGCGCTCTTGTAAAGCACCCTCTTGCAGGACTCTTGTGGGGCACTCGTGGGACACCCGTGTGGGGCACTCTTGTGGGACACTCTTGCAGCGCACTGTTGTAGGGCACCCTTGTAGGATGCTGACGGGACAGTCTTTGGGACAAGGCCACAGCCGCTGGCAGTCCAATCCCGATGGCACAGCGACCTCATGACTCCCCATGCTTCCCTTTAAAAGTTACTACATCATCACATCTTCATGTGTTCAGACATTTTGCACAGCGCCACACGTTTGGACTGACTTTGAAGACTTTACGGAGCACACTCACATCAACCAAAGTCGCTTGAAGGCCCTGAAAAGCAAATCTCAATGGCACAGCGACACGCAACACCTCCAAAAGACCACCCTGCAAATGCCAATCCCGGTGGCACAGCGGAACAAAACGATGATTTCACAAAACACCGCACCTGCGCAGCAAACGAATCTGACACTTCAGGCTTCCATCCAAAGCCTCCTTCAAAAGCTTCCCCCAACGGCAGGGCCCTATCGATCATTCCGACTACTGCAATCGGTTGCAAACGGTTGCGAGCGGTTGCGGCCACGAAAGCAACGTCAGCGAATAATGCTCTACCCTCGGACTCCCAAAGTTGAACGAGAACCCTTCGCTACGCATTCTGCAATAACAAAACACATACACCCCCACGCGTACACACACACAAAAATAAAAATACAAAAAGAAAGATGGGTCAGAGCCCCTATAAGGCTGTGTCCTTTCTTTTTAAAGCAAGTCTGTACAGTAGGTCGGTCAAAAGCTGGGACTGACTTCGGACAGCGCAGCATCCAAGTGAATGTATGCGTGAGAAGGCCAAGGTGCGGGAGAACCTCCAGGATAAGCACTGCAGGCATGCCGAACAGAACCCGCAGAAGACTTTGTCTGTGTTGAAACGTTTCCTTGGAAGCCGTCGCGCTGTCGGCTGGGGGGTCCATCCACCAGTATAGAATTGTCCTGCATACCCTTCCTGCAATTCAAACAAATGTTGTCATCAGATCAAGCAACCCCAGGGTGTCCGTTTGGTCTGATCGTTTTCTGTGTAATATGACATACAGCAACTGCTTGAACAACATCTTCTGGGTTTTCCAAATGTTGAGCTCCATCAGTCTCCTGAAATGTGGTTTCCTTTGCTTAATCGCACACATTCTTATCCGCTGGTCCCAATGTCAAGCTACCTGTCCATCTCTCTCCAAACCCAAATGAACTCAAAACCCTTGTGCCAGCATCTCGGTCACATTGAGGCACCCTGTGTTTCATCATGGTCCCTCTCACCAGGCCAAATGCCCCAAATGCACAAGATCTCCCACAGTCTAAAGCCGACGCAATGAAATCAGCCGCAAAAGTGATGATCAAATTGCAAAACATCAAGAGTTCACAAAAGTCATTATCAAAAGTTCACAAAAGGGCACCCATTAACTAAATCCCTTGTTGACTACTGTAAATTACAACTCATTGTATAATTTGGTCCACCCATCTTGAAAAAGCTACCAGAGTTGCTGCCGCAACTCAGTCCGATTGAACCAACTGATAGCTTGAATCCTTTAACAACTGATAGCTTGATGTGATTCCTGCTGTATACTCTTTTACTTTATACCTTGCCGTGTTCTTTATTGATCTTAGTTGAACCTTTCCTGGTTCCTTTGGAAATCCTTTGGCTCTTCCTTTGGAGTTGCGTCGAGCTTGCTTTAAGTCCTTTGAATCCTGTGTTTGTTGACTTCCTGCTAAGAACTTACGCCCTGACTTTGGTGTGAATTTGGATTCCAGCTGGCATCCTTCAGCTGTTGAACATCCTTTAATTCTTCCTGTTGATTTGCTTTGAGCTTGATGTGATTCCTTGTGGTTTTCAGTTTATACCAATCACGTTTGACTTCCTTCTGTTTGACTTATCTGTTGGTTCCTTTTGACCTTTTTGAGTTTTAGCTATGTGGCTCCTGATCTCCGTTTGTATCTTGTCCTTCTCTGATTGTGATTATTTTGCATGTGATTCTAGTTGAAATCTTTCTTGGTTCTTTTTGACTTGTTTTGAGTTTGTCTTGATATTATGTTTTGATTTGAGTATATGTTGATCTCCTTCTGGGCCTTGCTTGACTAAGTCTGCTTAATTCCATGTTGGATTTTGTTTGATGAATTTCTGGTATTCCCTCTGAACTGCTTTTTGATTCTATACATACTGACACACTGAAAAATACAATGCCAGTTTGTGATTTGGTTATGGGTTGTTTATAGATAAAATGCCTGCACTAGAATGCCTGCACAACGGGTTACTATGCCTTATCAAATCACTTGCCGAAAGGCATTCAGTGACATTGCCTTCTTGAGAATATCTCTGAGAAAAAGGCATGCTAAGACATTGTTTAGGTTCCCTTTGATTTGGTCAATTAAATTCCTTTTGATCCCTTTTCATATGTATTTCTTTTTGACCCGTATTATTGATTCCCATTTAAATCGCTTTTGATTCCTATTGATTAGGGGTATTATAAATCAAGATCCTACATTAGACTGACTGAAAGATAGACATGCAACGGGAGGACTTCTGAGCCAATGGGACATTTGCCCGCAAACCCTCGAAGTTGCAGGCGTTCTATGATCAAGAGTTTTCCTGAAATGGCCGGGCATTCTATGTTTCAGTCCGTCAGTATAGGGGTGTCAATTTCATGAGCAGGGTTGTGAAACAACTTCGCTTGGTTCCAACCGGTTGCTGGCCATTCTTCGATCAAAGCACATTGCATACCCATGTAAATGTACATTTACAATAATGACAAAAAACATGCGCCATCCCGCCTGGAAATGCATGTGTGTCAAGCAGGAACTATATTTTTTTCACCAGACAATGTATGTATATATATATATTTATTGCTCTCTCTCTCTATATATATATAGAGTACACACTTCTTGGGGGCGCAAGGCGCACAAACCTGAAGCTCTGAAAGGAGTGGAAAAGGAGCGAGAGTTGCGGCCAGGACTGGAGGCAAGCCCTAGGAGCCTTCACAGTGATAAACTGCAGCCTTGTGAATGCAGTGGCAGTCTAACTGAATAACTACTGTAATCATTGCAGTAAAACTAGGGTTGAAGCTGCTCATAGTGACGGACTGAAACTGTGTGAAATGAAGTTGCATTCTGACTGAATATTCAGGTTTTGAAGCTGCTCATAGTGACGGACTGATTTTTTGTTGTGCATGCCGTGGCATTCTAACTGTGTTTTTTGTTTTAATGGCATCCTCTAGGTTTTGCCATTTCAGCTTTGTCAAAATCATGTGCAAACTTGAACTCTGCCCGAAACCGAACAACCACAACTGTTTTTTCCACCTCTCAGAGACTCAGAGAGCTCTAGAATTACCATATGGTCCATGTAGCAGTGACCGCTACAACTACCTTGATGAGCCATTCGCCCTGTGTCGCGTTGTAAATGCTTAAACTGATACATGCATGGCTTAATCTTTGAGATAAGCATATGACTACTGGCAGGATGAACAGTTTCAACCTCACGTGTGCTGTGCTCGACTCTGAGGCAGCACATGTGGTGGACATCACCACAACAGTTTAAACTAGTTTAAACCCAGCACAGCTTTCCATGCAGCTGATCATTCTGCAAACAGCAACCCCGCAACAGAGACGTTCTCTCAAACCTTCCCTTTCTCAGCCACTGCTGTATTAATGGGTAAAGCAAAGAAACACAATAATTAATAATTATTACTTACAAGATAAAACCCTTTGCAAAAGGTGATTTTGAAGACCTAGCGAAACTGTTGATATAGCAGAGCCCAGTCCTTACTGTATATGAATTTGGTTTTTGGAAAACTTGCATTCTAAGCTTCAGTCCGTCACTAAACGCATAGTAATAATTAGCTCAATGCGTGACCCCATCCAAGCTATCCAAGAGACCACCCCCTGTTCCTGCGGTGTCCGTCTTCAGCGCTCCTTCGCCGTTTAGACCTCGGCGTTTAGACATCGGTGACAAGAGACATCTCCGATGGGCGGCTGGGCGTTGCAAAAGGCCACCGAGCCGATAGGGCCATGCCAGCCTGGGGCCAAAGGTCTGGAGCGAAAACCGACAGGATGTGGACATGCGACCGACCAACCGAAGAAAAATCAAGTTCACTTGTGATCTATTTCTTGGTTGTTGAATGTTGCCTAAATGACATCAAAAAACTCTGAGCAACACAATGAGGGGACTGTGGGTTCATAGGTGTTCAATGGTGGTCATCAGGTAATATACATGTTCACAGCTTTCAGGGCTGTGGCTTGTTTGGATTCAGTGGTGCCATGAAGTAGTTTGGCATGTTTTTTCCATGTGATGTTTGCATGTTTTCGGCATGTTCGTCATCCAGTCATGGCAATCGGATTCGATGTTTTTGATGATGAACGTCCCATGCTTGGGACCGGGACATTTTACTCCCCGACAGACATGCACCGATGATTCCAAGGATGACGTCAATCGATGTACATGCAGGCAATGCAAAATCACATCGGTACGGAGGGAGGAGGAGGAGGAGGAGGAGGAGGAGGAAAAGGACGATTGGAAGTGTCCGATTGTTCCCCAAATCTCGTATTGAGATGGCTGAAGCCCGCTGGGCCCACGGACCAGGCAGCTGCAAAGGAAGTGGTCACAGCCATGTTGAACAGTGCAAGGCCCAAGGTCGAGAGACGAAGGGCAGTGAGTGACCCGGAATGAAAGATGTCCACCCACATGGCAAACAAGGAATACTACTCGTAACAAGAAGCTACCAACTTGGAGGCCACCGCCATTAGGTGGAGGCCGTCGCTATTAGGTTGAAGGCCATCGCTATTAGGTTGGAAGCCATCGCTATAAAGTTGCAGGCCACCGCCATTAGGTGGAGGCCATCGCTATTAGGTTGGAGGCCATCGCTATTAGGTTGGAGGCCATCGCTATAAAGTTGCAGGCCACCGCCATTAGGTGGAGGCCCTCGCTATTAGGTTGGAGGTCATCGCTATTGGGTTGGAGGCCATCGCTATTAGGTTAGAGGCCATCGCAATTAGGTTGGAGGCCATCGCTATTAGGTTGGAGGCCATCGCTGTTAGGTTGGAGGCCATCGCTATTAGGTCGGAGGCCATCGCCATTAGGTGGAGGCCATCGCTATTTGGTTGGAGGCCATGATGACGATGAGGATGAGGATGAGGATGAGGATGAGGATGAGGATGAGGACGAGGATGAGGATGATGATGATGATGATGATGATGATGATGACGAGGTCGCGGTGGCGGTAGCCGCATAAACAAACTAGGGCACCAAACCCAAATGTTCACTCTGGGCGCACCGGCCATCCCTACACCAAAACATACCCATCACCAAGGGACAAAGTATGCAGCCACTCACTCAGCACAGCCCAGCAAAGTGACAAAAAGACGTAAAAAGGAAGAACCAGGAATATCACCAAGACCGAGCCATCACCCCAAAGTGGCATATAGCGGTCTGATAGACGTCCCACTCGGAGTCTGGGCAGGCTGGCCGTCACTCCCCCGGGGTGTCTAAGGCCCTGACCCGCGGGACCAACAAAACCCGGCAAACGGTCACCCAGTTTGCATCCCTGCTTGCACATTCAGCTATCGTTCCCCCTGTCTTGCCGTTTCATCTTGTACCTCTTGGCAGGCACAGCCAAGCCCAACTAGACCCCCTTCAGATCAGCCACGAGTCACCACAGGGATGACACCGTAGGACCCAAAAAAACGGGAAACCAAACCAAGCCACGACCCAACCAGTTCACCCACAACAACGTACGGGTCAGTCACATTGTTGTTGGGCCAACTCAACGTCCCTTACGCCGAAACCGGCAGGAGTCGCGTGCTCCCGTTCTCCCCATAGACCAAAGAAACAAAAATCGAGAAGCCAACCTGGTGAAAACTGGAGAAACGCCAGACCCGAAGGACCAGATTGGGTTCGCCCTGTCATCCGTAAAGGATCCAACCTACAACCCAAGATACCGCTTACAGACAAGGTTGCCCCGGTGGCGCCCACGTGGAGGGCTGCCGCATTTTGCCACCAAGGTTGGAGGCCATCATTAGGTTGGAGGCCATCACCAATAGGTTGGAGGCCATCGCTATTGGGTTGGAGGCCATCGCAATTAGGTTGCAGGCCATCGCTATTAAGTTGGAGGCCATCGCTATTAGGTTGGAGGCCATCGCCATTAGGTGGAGGC